AAATAATATCCTCGACAGTATTGCTGAAAATCATTTATTGAACATATCCAGAGGAATATCCAAATCGCAACGGAAGCCCCCTCTCCGATGTTCAGGAATGATGAAGATGGCAACTGCTGAATCACTGGTTGATTGATCATACAGGCGGCTGTCACTAAATAAACTGAACCAAATGAATGAAATAATAAAGTATAATTCTCAAATGAGCGTAATTATGAATGAATCATTTCTTCATTGGTGTGGCTGAATGGTATAAGTGAATACTGAAGTGAATTTCTTCCAGGAAAGGCAGTCTAGTGGATCAAATGATACGACTGATGGAACAATACGCGAACAATCTCGAGAAGTTAGTTCAAGAGCGGACTGGCATGTTGGAGGAGGCGAATCAAATGGCCGATAAACTTCTCACACAATTGTTACCAAAGTAATATTGCTCTCCATTCCTACAATCATTTACTCTAATCAGTTCAAATTTTAACTTTCAAAACTTTAAACTCATCGAAACATTTCGGTTGTCTTGTTTTAGCTGATTATTGCATTCGCCATTTGCAGATACGTAGCGAATGAGCTAAAAATGGGACGTGTGGTACCACCGAAAACATTTCCTGCAGCTACCGTCATGTTCAGGCAATTACTTCGATTCAATTTCCTTCAGCACCATTGTTGATATGTTTTGTTTCTTAAGCAGATTATTGAAAACTGGAATTCAATTCCTCTTGCCTTCCCTCACAAACGAAGAACTGTACTGTTTCCTTTTCCCTAGTTATACTTTCAGTCATTACAAATACAATTAAGCAGTCAGATGTTGAAGAATTATTTAATCCTAAACATTCAATAAACATTCTCCTCACAATCAGAAAATTATTCAACGCAAATCTAATCGCTCGACTTCATAGTATTTGATAATATCAATAGTCTTTTGATCACAGTCACTAATGTGAAAACAATTTATGCAAGCCATTAGCTCAGTGATACTGTAGCAATGTTGACTTCACAATATTGCAGTGATATTGTTGGCTTCACAACAATTTGCTCAACGTCGAAACCACTCGAAGTTGTTACCATGTTGAATATAGTATATAGTGGATTTGATGATATTATCAACAAACATGATGCATACAAGGTTACTGATAAGAACGCTCTTTAGCGCTTTCCACTTACAGTTTACATTTTTTGTTCATTTTGACAATATGTCACTGTTTGACAATATGACAATATTTTGACAATTTGACAATTCGTTTTCCATTTTGACAATATGTCACTGTTTGTTCGTCGAATACAATTGACAGTATAAGAACTTGCATGCTGTTCGGAGTGTAAAAATAATGTATACATCATGTGATATATGAATTGTTTTGATTAAAAGACTTACACGTAGGCGGTATTTGAGATACCAACAACGCTTAGAGATGAGTGATTACATTGATTCGTTGAGGTTGAAACAATTGGTGACGCCTATATGGTCGTGTCGGGAATTCCGGAAGAGAACGGAAATCGCCATCTTGAGAGTATCGCCAATATCGCTCTCGAGATAATGGAGGTTGGATTCGCCCTAATTGCTCATTGCTACCCAACAGAGCTAATGGGCAATAGTTGAATTGCTTTTTCGTTGTGAAAAAACATCTTCACTAAAAAATTCTCAATTGATTATTAGGCAAACAAGTGAATCTTATTTCAGTTTATTTCAGTTCCTGAAAGATTTCCAAATACCACATCGTAAAGAGGAACGTATGCGTATTCGACTTGGCTTCCATTCGGGGCCAGTGGTTGCAGGTGTGGTAGGTCTGACATCGCCGAGATACTGCCTCTTTGGTGATACGGTGGGCTGTTCACCTGTTTCTTAACGGTATTGAATATCGTAGGAATAGTAAGGCTGCAATAGCTGAAATGAAGACTATCGCCACGCATTGTGCATTTTATTAAGCATCAGATCTGTGAAGATCAAATAAGCTCATTTGATCAAAGCAATTGATAATCATCGAACTAATTTGAAAATCATATGCAAAATCATAAGGTATGACCAGATTGATCGCAGAATTCAGTGGAAGATATTGGAAATATAAAGAAAACTTCCATGAAACCTCAGGTGAATACAGCGTCTCGAATGGAAAGTACTGGTGTGCCTGAGATGATTCAACTGAGTGCATTCACGAACGAGCAACTCCTTAAGTACTACCCCGAATTTCGCACTGTTTTACGAGGAACCGTCAATGTTAAGGTGATTGATTCCACGTTCTCGATTGCTCACCAAACTCAAAATTCACGAGAATATTTCATGCTCAAGATTACTTCTGCGAGTGAGTTCTTTACAGGGTAAAGGTGAGTGCACAACATATTTCCTGGATGGTAAAAATAACTCGAACGGATCTGAGCAAAGCGTGGAAACAACGCGAGCAACCGATCTGGCACATCAATAATAATATATCACAGCATGACGAAACATTGACTGCATGCATTCATCCTGATCTTTCATTTCATCATAAGATTATTTCATAATATAATCCAATATCACGCGATCCACTTAGCATCATATTTTGTGTCTCTCATCGACTTTTTTGTTCTATACGTATACAATTAATCTGCATAAACCTGTAAAGAAGATATATCTATAATATCTGCTTTTTGCTACATACGTAATCCCATGCATTAAGAAAATATATGACTGTAATAGTAACATTGATAATAATAATGATAATTATATTTATTATGAAAGATGCAGTGGTGACTAAGCAAAGGTGACTAAGATCAACTGAAACGACACGAAGATACAACACAGAGCTGAATGAGTTTCTTTTTCGATAAAAAGCTCATTCTTGGAAAGTGAAGGATTCGCTCAATAAGAAGAATCTGATAAAGTAAAATTTCGGCTAAAATTTCAGGCAAGAAATTGCTAAAAATTTATTGCAAGCTACCATTATGAGTGATGCGTGTTTTTTGGAGTTGTGCAGTTAATTATGAATCTGTTGATGAAAGTCATGAACTGCCTAAGTAAGAAGGGTCGGAAGATGGGAATGGTCAAGCATTTGTCGATGAACATGAGTATTGCCCTCGAAGTGTTGACTGCAACATTGTATTATGTGCTGCATACTTAATGCAGTGGTTAGTAAGGTTGGCTTGTAGGAATGAATCCAGAATCCGAATCTCCAAAGCGTTGGAAATTTTCTTCTCATCGTTGTCAGCCAAGTGATCCTTGAAATGAAAGAAATTCATTTTCCATGAAGACTTTCAATCCCCTCTCCCGCTCCTCTGAGTGATCCCCGGTATGACCTTCAACGTACTCATAGGCCCTAAAAAGGAAAAAAGCTAAAAAAACTTTAGATGTACGTTTAAATGGCGAGAATAAAACGAAAAACGCCCTTTCACACCAAAAAAAATCGCTTTCTTACACTGTAATTTGCATGAACATGCTACCTTGAAGCCTATTGGATGATGGATACTGTAACTCTGTCGTAGTTACGTTAGCTGAACAGGATTACTGTAGGAGTTTTTGGCGAAGTTGCCTTGAGCCCTTCTAAGACATTTGTCTATATCGCCATTTGGCCACGGACTGTCTTTTCTGGGCTGTAATTCATTATCAAAACGGTTTTGTTTTCCTCTTTCTTTATTTTGATCGATTCGCTTCTTAAATCAGATAACTAGGATGATCACGATAATGATCAGAATTACTAATTATCACCGGCAATAACTATGATCTCAAGGATAATCCTTTGTGATCTCGATGATAACCCTCTTTGATTATCATGAAAATGAACATAATTTATCAATTTTGTCAAGACATTTCTAACCAAATGGATAACACATTTGTGAATACAGAGCAACATTCATGGCGTAGTAATTTTCCAACAAATCATCATTAATTCTCCTTGAAATTCGCGTGAAAATGTTTCATTCCAAACCTTTTTATGAAGAAAAACCGTAATCATTATTATGCTTAAGTCACAGTTGAAGGGTTATATCTTCTGATGGCTGTCTAAATCAGAAGAATGTCAGCCATTTGCAGAATGTTTATTTTATAGTGTAGAAGACATCGCATCAGGGTTTTCATCAATCATTTCTACTGACCTTCCAGTATCAGAGAATCTGATCAAGGACCTTATGGAATTTGTAGTCTTTGTTGTGACCTGTTTTCTTTGTTTTAATTCATTATTTTTTTAGTTCTTTTTAATCGATTGTTCATTCTATAATCTTTTTTATCCATCAGTATCTATTGACAAATATTCACCTGTTTGATAAATGAATGTTTAGTTCATCCGCAAAGACGTTGCCCACATTTTATCTGACGATGAATAGATTTTTGGATAATATC